AATTACAGATTCAAAGATTTAATATTGGACTGTGTAGAAAAATGACTGAACCAAACAAACTGGTGGAGAGGGAAAAGAGTCAAGGAATGAAGTGGATGACGAATCTATTGAGTCAGACTCGAGTGCAGTCACGCCTCCGCCCTCGACCTTGAAAAGACCACCAGTGAAAGAACCAGTAAATTGTCTAGAGTGTGGCTTGAAAATTCACAATATGGTCCATGTTCCTCCCAGTAACAAGAAGAATGGTGCCTTGAGAAAGTGTCGCGTGAGTACTAAGCACAAGATTAGAAAAGAAACAAATATCATGTGTGCAGGCTGTGGTGTGGCTCTCTGCAAACTTTCATGTTTCAATATTTATCACATGAAGAAAAGCTAATAAAGAGGTATGGAAAGGCATTTATTGCATAAAATATTGTATTTTAATTAGTTCCTGAAAATTTCGTTTTTAAAAACCAATTTTTGTTGAAGTTGTTTAGGAAAAAGTAACTACGTGCATTTTTGCGACATAAGGTTTAAAGGGCCTGCCAGGACAGGAGTGGGATTTAAATACCCTTCGCACCAGTCAAAGAGTTAATTTAGCTCAGTGGCCTCCTTTGGAGACATGAGGTTCTTTTACGTGCCGTAAAGCTACGACATGGGACCCACGGCTTAAAGTCCCTCCCGGAGGACTTGTTCCCTGAATTTTTCCGCCCTTAAAAATTCCACGACCTCCGCCGGGTTTGAACCCACGTACCTTGTGTCATGAGGTGGGAACGTTACCCCTAGACTACGGAGGCCGCTTATAATGCCATGTAGTCTTGTGAAAGTCAAGTGATGTGTCATGGGAACATATTACCTCAATCTTCAGCGCTGAAGAGTAAGCCAAGCAAGAAACCAGCATGAAGCAGACAGTAAGCAATTAAACTCACCAAACAAATTATATATAATTATATAAATAATATAGTCCCAATATCAATTGCATTATAGTCTATTCAGCAGTAAGAGAGGAAAAACACGCAGTGAGACAAGCAAGCATGAGTTTTTCATCAGTCTGTGCATTCTGTGGAAAGAGCACATCAGAACTGAGGTGACATCTCCAAAACAGAAGTGAGTGCCCCACCTGCTGGGAAATGGAATGTATATCTCTGCAACCAGATGGTGCGCAAGGGTGCCCCCCTCTTCATGTAGCTCCACCTTAAGGCTCTCAGGCCACTGCAAGATGCGGATTGGGAACAGTTGGCCGAATGACACAATAAATCTCGGACCCAGAGGCTGAGGGCGTGAAGTGCACACTTCCTTCTGGTTGTAGAAGATCTTCACATAAAGTTCACACCTTTTGACGGCTGCTCTCCTCTCCTGTTCACTGCAGGAACACAGTCACATTATATTTAACAGGAAGCAGCCTAACCGCAGCTCTTCAATTGCAAAACAAGATACAAATGTGACATTCAGAAAGCCAAAGGGGCTATCTGCTGTTGGTCTATACACGAGACTTACATACATGAGTGCATGACATGTCAATGGAGTTTTCTTGTTTGAAAACAAAGTGCTTATAAAATATTCTGACATGACAGCTGAAAGCCAGAATAGTGAAATAAATAGATGTGGCCATTGCCAGGCAACAGTGCGATAAACACGTGTCCCCAGCAATGAATAAACGTGCAACAATAGAGGATGTGGTGTTTTCTATGCAGCCATTGCTAGACAATGGCACAGTAAACACTGGCCAACACAACAAATAAACACACAATAGAGGAACTGCTAGAAGTGATGTCATGTACACAGTCCATGCTGATGTTATATAATGAGAACCAATGGGCCAAGCAAGGAGTCAGAAGTCAGTCGGAGGTCAGATTCGGCTTGAGTTGCATTGTTAGCAGCCGTTAAGTAGCAATGACTAGTGAACAAACAGGAGACTTTATGTGTGCTGTAGTTGTAGTGATTTCAAATGTGTAAATCAGTAAGACTGTTATAGTTATTTGTAGTTATGAGTTATAAGCATTCAATAAATCCAATTACAAATCCAAACACTATGTCTAATCATTAACATGTGACAGTACTTATTTTGATCTAAAAGAAACTTTAGGCAGTTACACAACAGCAATTTCATGAATTATAACTTTTATGCAGGACCTCCATGACTGCCTTTGAGAATTAAATCATTACATATGTGTGATTTCATCACCTGAGTCAGTGCTGATATATAAATTCATCTACTAGACATTTCACTTACTTGGGACAGGCAGGATTCTGATCAACATGTCCAGTGGTTGTCAGCTGCAGGTGAACTTTGGGTTCTCCTGGCGGACGCAAGGACTTGAACAACCGTTCTGTCACCTCTGACCTTATTGTGCTCATGTCCACTTTAGCGGGTGGTTTGGGTTCTTCCCCAAGGGGTTCCATCATCTCCTGCTCCACTTCATCACCAGACTCTTTCTCAATTCTCTGTTCTGCTTCCTTCTGGTACTTCTTTTTTGCTTCACGCTGAAATGTTACACAACAAATCATTCACATTTTGGAAGAACTCAAATGCTTCTGTTGACTATGTTAAACATTATCTGGTGAAATTTTAATATCAGATCTATGAAAAGCAAAGAGTGTAGAAGGTGGGGTCAGAATTAAGCTTACCAATTTTATAAACCAAACAACCCACAGTGACATTGCATGTATGAATTGTTGATTGGTAACACTAGCTTGGTATCCAGCCATCTACTGAACACTGCCTGTTCAAGTCATTTCAACACAGTAATTCTGCTAGAAAAGTGGTCCAATAAAATGTTCAGAAATTACTTGTTTTCCAGCAAGTGAGAAGTACATTGCCGTCTCATGTATATACATGAAAGTGCCTCTTAAGGTACAATATTAAAACACATTTTCAAGTGGCAAAAGTAAGAGAGTAAATTTGCCCCTCTGCTTAAATAAGCACCATGTCATGGAGACATGTGGGGAAAGAGGCAGTGGCAGCCCACTGGCAACATAAATATTGGAGAATCAACAGAGAGATAGTGGTGGTGCTGGTGGTGATAAACTATTTTGATTTATTTTCTTCATAATGTCAGTAATATAGCAGAGAACCCCAGAAGGCGACACCAATGGTAGTCTTGGAGGTTTTGTTGAGACCTACCAGCGCCTTTCTTCTCTTTTTCCACAAAATAAGCTTGTCCGAATATTCATCTAGCTGCTTGTTGTATTCTTCCTGATACTCTTCCTCAAGTTCATCTATTTCCTTGCGAATCTCTTCATCCCATGCCTTGATCTCCGCAGCTGGATCCTCAGCATACTCCTTGTGAATCTGTAATTTAAGTTGTGTCGATGTGTAACCCTGAAGTTCCCTCAGCTTTTTGAGGTCACGCCACGTAATCAGTAGGTTACTCAGCAGCTGACGGTTGTTGTGGCCTTCTGTCTGCCTCAACTGGCGTGCCTCACGGACCTCAGCAGCATACCTGCAATATCACACAAGGAAAGTATTTGCTTATCCCAAACATGAAACACTACTTTATCTTACGGTTGTTTCTTTAGCTAAATAAATGAAACACTGCAGGGCAGTAGTCACTGTACCTGAATAGTTTATATGTTATTTACTGGTGCCATATCATTTGCAGAATTTATGGCCCAATTAAAGAAAATCATATATGGAGATCAAGATACGTGTATAACTATGAACTTTACAAATTATATAATGAACCAACCAGATATAGTGGAAGTGACCAAAGTAAGGTACTCGAGATGGCTGGGACACCTTTATAGAATGCAGGAGCAGAATCTTTGCAGCAAGTTAGCTCTACATAAACCAGAGGGCACTCGACGAGTGGACAGACCTACTTACTGGTGGCTAGATGCAGTTGAAGAAGGTTTGAAGACAAAGGGTGTTAGAAATTGGAAACAAAGGCCGCAGAATCAGGACCAATGGAGAGCATTCATAAAAGAGATCAAGGTTCATCATGAACTGTGGGGCCTGGAGGAGGAGGAGAACTCATTTGCAGAGGTTGTTCAGCATGAAGATGACGTGAAGGTCACACACACACGTGACACACACATACCCAGCAGGCCCAGCAGTATAACACACGCAGTCACAGGAGCAAGACACAACACCAAGCACAATACACACACGAAAATAGGAAGAATACTCCGATAGAAGAAGATGGGTGTGACTCGCGTATTGAGATATGACATAAGGATGACAAATCCTGAACAGTTTTAATATTCTTAATATTTAAAATTTATCAATATATATGACGAATATATATTTTAGTTATTTTAGTATAAAGACAACAGGGCATGCAATGAAGTAGTTTGACGTACATCGAAGAGCACCTGAAGATGGCACTTTTGTGCTGAAACACGTAATGCAAGAGAGAAGAGTAAGGTGAATAAATGTATGCACTGTAATAAATCATGGACGTGAAGGTCATTATATATGGTACCATAACGAATATAACTAGGAAGTTAGGAGTCATATCCTATTTTAATCATTTACTAAGAGAGATTGAGGAAAAACTATGTTCTGTGAGTCATTTGTAATTACCAGGCATGTGTGTCAAACATCACTGAAAATGGATCTGTGATCTCTGAAAATTGTAACAATCATTTTTGCACAGTTATTTCATTATATCACAGTGGCCAAAAAAAGTTTCCTGCTTAGTTTCATCTCTCTTGCAGTAGCGAACAGCACAGAAAAGCAAGAAAATACAATAACCACATTAAACATTCATGAAAAGAATCATCTCAAAAGTTCGTAACTTGTACAAATATCCTCTTTGTCACTGGAACTCTAAACTTTTCATGAAATAACCCAAAGATGAAAAATTGATGTCCTCTTCCTTTGTTTCTATTACATAATTTTCATTATTAAAACTACATAATGTATGTAAATAAATGAATAACAAAGACCATTTACATAATGGTTCATCTATTTTTGTGACAAAAATGGTTAATTCATTCAACTATATTTAAAATATCAATTTGACTTTTGGAACGTTTTGTTTTGCTCATTTTTTTCACTTGTCAAAGGACATTGCTCCACTATTTGAATAGCACGACAACTACATTCTTTTTCGGGGACCAAATTCTTTCATGATGTTGGCAACATTAAAACACAGTCCATCCTCTGAAACAAAATAATAAGCCCATAGAATTACACAGGTTAATTAACACCTTTATAATACTGCTAGTGTGACGGACCAGGATGAACAAAATTAAGCCCATAGAAATTCATTAAATTTTCAGTTCAGTGACAAGGGCTCACTTCTACTTGCTTTATGGAAATAAAGATGAATAAAACACAGCAAAGACATTTTCCCAAGAAAATCAAGTATTTTCTGCCACATTATTTGTGTATGAAATTCATTTTAAAGGATAACCGATAGATTAAATGATTATTTTTTCAGTTGACACACTTTTTCAACTGCACCATATAAATTCTGTCAGACAGTAGAATGAACGTGGATGATTAATTGCAAAGGTTATGGAAGGAAGTGGTCATGGATGATATGTAAGGCGTTATTGGTGCATTTATATGGAAGGACTGAGGAAACAACAAACATTTCAGTTTGGATATCTCTGGGCTGAGATTCAAACCCATGTCCTCTTAAGTATGAAGAAGGAATGTTAGTCATTCAAATGCAAGGTTTACTTTTTAAATAAAGACTAAAGTTACAGTGACCTCTGTAATCTCTCCAACTGCTGAGGGCTGGCATCAGCCATTTGTCTAAGGGCCTTCTTCAAGCTATCCCGAGCCCTGCGGAGAGCCTCCAGTCTGCCTGCCAGCCTCTGCTGTTGTCCCAGCACTATAGAATGATTGTATTTCTGGTACAGTTCAGTGACACGCTGTGCCAAAACGTGCTCTCTACTGAATAGTGGATGGTGGCTGAACGACACAGAGCAGATGTCCAATTCCAGCAGATAGTGATCCTCTACACCAACTTCACCAGGCTGAACTATGTACTTGTTCTCAAAATCGCTGATTGCTGCCTGAAATAACAGGAAATTCAATGTTTTCAATGCTAAGAATGAAATATCTCTACCTGAAAGCACTAGCCACCTGCTATTTAAATACTGGTAAAGACATATACTTCTTGCTAGCTCTCTGATAATCCAAACCGTACACTTGTATTTGCATCACTTCACAAATGACGTTCAAGTTACCAGTGTTATATGTACTGAAAAAAGGCAATTTTGCTAAATGAAGATATCATGGAAATGGTCAAAAATAGATAGTCTAATTCTCTTTTCCTTGAATCTGATGTTTTACCCTTTCTGTTCACAGCTAATATTCGATAATTATTTTTCAATTTAACCATAACCACCATATATAATATAAAACATAAAGTCCATACAAAAAGACAAGTTTTGCAAGGTGCAAAGCCCAAAAGAAATGCGTTAGTGGAAGACTGGCTTGGATATATATCGGAATATAGGCCTGGTGCTTTATCAAAGTGATGGAGTATGCTTACAATGGACGCATTTCATGGCCGTCCCTCCATTAGAACCAGGAACCGGATAAGGAACAAAAACACCAACCTATTGGTAATTCCTAGTGGCATGACAAGTCAATTGCAACCACTTGATGTGTTAAGTAACAAACCATTGAAGGATGTTCCCATAAACACTACAATGCCTGGCTGAGTAAAGACAATCACATATTAACATCTAGAGGCAATTCGGTTTCCCCTGCCAATCTTCATTCCACCAAATTTTCCATCATCATAATCACCAGGGGGAGGTTACAATAGGCCAATCAGTGGCTGCTGTGCCAAGTGGACCCAGTTGGACTCCACCCCCCACTAAGCAAATTTTGGAAAAAAAGAAACTCTATAGTTAGTGCCTCGTAACTTTAGTCGCGTGGAAAGGTAAACGCTGTTGTGGAGCACGCAAAGCTGTACGCTTGCTGTGATGACGTTCAGAGCTACTCCCCAAGTTGAAAACATTGCCTGTGGAAACCAACTAACAAGCAACACAACGTACTATACGCCTGACCACACTCTATGACGCTACATTCCAAACTGGTAGTACCCGTGCTGATGTAAGCTGATAAGACTGCCCCCCCCCCTAGTTCTGCAAGAGATGGCATGACCCCTCTACCACAGCTAGAGTTCCGAGAAACTAACAGCAGTGGAAATGTAAAAAGAGCATCAGCATCAATAATGGTAGAGAAGATATCAGAAGCTTGGAAAGAAGTGCCAGTCAATGTTATTCCAAAATCGTTTTTAAAGTGCTGTTTGTTTAACGCAGAAGATGGAACATAGGATGACATTCTTTAGGACAATAGTGAAAAAAGTGGTGAGGGCACTCATCTTCAGAAAATGAAAGTGCATATGAAGGATGATTGGACAAACTTTCTGATTAAATAAAAAAGATAGATAGGAACGTGCATGCAGTGAAAATTTTAAATTTCCTTTTCATTCTGGTATATTTTCCATTTTCTTCACTTTAAATGTGTTGTAAATATTGTGTTATTTTAAGTGATTTGTCATAAATAAACTCATTGAAATAAATACACCTTTATAACTTTTTCCTAAACCTCTTATTTAAAAATTGGATGCGTCTTCAATTCGAGGGCTTCTCATATTCAAAGTAATATGGTATATGCTGAGACACAGACACAAACAAACAAACAAACGTTGAGATGTTTACCGGTTTATATTCAGTGCTTAGGATGGGATTTATTTCCTCAAACACTGGAGGGCGAAATGGAATCTTCCTGCAGGGGTCCCGTTGTGATATAATTTCACCATCACCACCAAACCATTTCCTGAAACAGCCCCACATTTCATTTAACAGATTACTTGTGGCACCCGAGAGTGTAGTTGGTTGAGGCACTTTGCTACAAGCCAGAAGGTTGTAGAATCAAATCCCAATGAGGTAGATTTTTTTCAATTTACCTAATCCTTCCAGCCGCACTATGGCCCTGGGGTCGACTCAGCCTCTAACAGAAATGAGTACCAGAAACCTTCCTGGGGGTAAAGGGCAGCTGGCGCATAAGGCTGACAGTCTCACTGCCATCTGTGAGTCGATTGTCTAGAAAATGTGAGAGCCTCAACATCTCACAACCCAATGGGCCTCCACGGCCTGTTACAGGGACAGCTTTACCTTTTACTTTTTACTTACTAATTCAGTTCAAGGAGCATCAGCTGCATCCATAACACATTCATGAAACCATGGGGCCTCCTGCTCCAGAAGTAGAATATAAATTACAGCACTCAAATACAAAGCACTCAGGAAAATATTTGGACCTAAGATGGATGAAGCAAAAAGACAATTAAAGACATTAATAGCGATGAAAACAGTTCACCCAGCATTGTGAGGGAGAGCTGACTGTGTAGTTCGGATGACAGAGGCAAAAGCTGCATATAGAATTTTGGCAGTTGAATCTCTTTGAAAGTAAAAACTTGGAACACAAAGAAGGATAATATTAAGACAGATCATTTGAAAATAACTTCTGAGGATCATATGTGGATATGTGAGTTCTAATATTATCAATATTCATCTTTTTGTATTCTGCTACCAGAGAGTTAGTTAATTGCTTATGAAAACCCATACTTATTTTAAAATATACTTTCATACTTTTTATACTCAGGTATTAATAGTGTTTCTAGACATAAATGTTTAAGAAAAATAAAAGAACAAATATAAGCTGGAATAGATCAGTTGGTATATTAACTAGACTTAGGGCTCAACAACTGAGAAATCAAAGGTTTAATTATCAGCTTGGTCAAGAGTTTCTCTCTTCTCCACAGTCTAGGGACCATCCAGCCTCCAGAGCATTGGGTACTGGGTCTCATTTCCCACATTGTGAGTTGGCAGATCATGAATGCTCCTGACTCGTATTTGGGATGTGCTCAATTAAAACCTTGGCAGGGAGACTGACTAATCTGACTGAAGATTTTCATGGTGTTCCTCAGTCCCTCCAGGTATATGCCAGGACAGTAATTCAATTATTCCATGACAGTTTCCTTCTAGATCCCTTCTAATTTGCCATTCACCTATCATGCTAACATTCAACACTATATAGTGTAGCTACTAACAGCACTTTCAATTAACCCACAAGAGAAAGAAGATGGAGCCACATTCCACGTCACATTCACACTCTGCACTGGGAACTTAAAATCTCACATGACATAAAAACTGTCCATCCCTGCCTATAATCTGACATTTTCAAACCCGACCAATCTCTCCTCTCCACATCTATCCTTATGTAGCCCATTCATTGTAGTATTTCCATAAACCTCACCTATCCCCACCAGCCAACAGGCGTCGCTCTAATTTGTTCCTGTTTCGGTTGGTAACAGTGAGACGGCTCCCCACATACAGACCCTCCTCTTCTGGGTAACGGACCTCAAGATCAGGCTTCAACTTGTCTTCTAGTGGCACTGTGTACATAAAATAACTTTGAATTATAAAATGCTAACAGTTAACTAAGTTTCTTGTGCTGTTACTCAGTACAGCAAGAGAAATTCTAAAAAATATCACTCATTCGAATAATACTGTAAAGTATTAAGTAAAACTGCCACTCTTCCCAAGCACCACAACAAAAAAGCATGTACAAGGAATGGGCATAAAGCTTCATGCAACCTTAACCTTGATACCAGACAGAGGTGAATGGTCAGATTTTTGACTAAGGAACTTCACTCCATCCCCACCCCCACAGGCAAACAGCCCCTAATCCCCCCAGTAACAGACTGGGAATCTGACCCCTATAATTCAGAATGTTGGGAATATATCTCTTCATAACCACTTTTCCAGACTGATTCTGGGCCCAACACAGCTTCCTAGACACAAGGCCAGTCAGAGCATGAAGTTTACCATTCGTCTCCTTTTAGTACCATACTGGAAAACATGTGGCGCTTACAACTCCATTTCCCTATACACTTGCATGCTGCAGTGCTCAGAAACACCTCTACCAAGATTAAAATAAAACTGTTGGAGCCTACTGAATTTTTGAGGTTGATAAATCATTTTCTTTACTTTTTAATATTCTTAATGTTTATGGACACCTCATTACATCTTTGTTCCTCTTAGGTTTGTACTGTGTGTCCTGGTACATGATTTCGAGTCAAATCATCAGGAGGGGCTCACCTGGAGTCGTGCTGGGGTGGAAGTAAAGCTCTTGCTCACGAGCCTCTTGTTCTTCTCTCTCGTACACAGGGGCCACCATCTGAACAAGTTCCCACTCATCACGTAGACCCAAATAGTCAGCTGTTACCAACTTTGTTTGCTCTTCACCACCCTCAGGTTCTTCACTTTCTGTAACATCACATATTACTAGCATAACACCCATTAAAATTCCAGCGGGAAATCATTGCAGTTATCATTATGTTAATCAAATCTGAAACATAAATTTGTTGCGAAAACAATTTTGTGTGCGACATATCCCCCCCCCCCAACAAAACAAACTTCATCAAAAATACTGACCTCAGCAACTTGAAAGATGTAGCGAAATAGATACATTTATACCAAGATACTAAACTTGACAGACCAACCATGGTCCTGTTGTCACCTAGAATGCTATGTACTTTTCTTGGCACAGATATAAACTGCGATACTGAGTCAAACCCTTTATTTCTGCTGTTTTTCTGCTCAGTCACCGGCTGAGATTAGCTCTTTCTAAGGGATCCAACGGAATAGGTGTCTCTCACCTCACTTGAAGACGGAAACAGATCCAGTTTCCAAAATATTGTGTTCTCTGGTTTTTTTTTTTTTTTTAAGATTGCTGTACAATAAACAAAGTCCAGAAACCCGGTATTGATGAGTGTTATACACCATCATCAGAAACCTTTAGAATCTATTAGCATAGTTGATATTTCAATAAATATTAATGTGGTCCCCTGTTTCTGGGTGATTGCATTGTGCAAATGTAGGCTGACTGCAGGAGACAAGATCTATTTTAGCATCGAACTGCTTGCAAAAGCCTAAAATCTTCAGCTAATATGGTAAAATTTGATATCTAGCACCTGTGGAACCAAAGGGTTGTCTGATATGTAGTTTTCTGAATATTAGAACGTTATATACAATGTGTAACTTACTGACTCAGGATAGGGACAAGTAGGGGGCTCTTGTGAACACAGTAATGAACCTTTGGGTTCCATAAAATGTTGGAAAGTCCTTGAGCAGCTGCATGACTAGCGGCTTTTTGAGAAGGGTTCAGCTCCATGAAATTAGTTAAGTGTTCCTAGCAACTTCATGGACAGACCTACCCACTTAATATGTCACTTCATATCCTGTCCCATGTTCCCTGCCTCAGTTTCTAGTCCATTTTTATCACTAATTACACAATACGGTGCATATACAATCTGAAGAAAACAACAGGACACAAATATTTTGCCCTTTCAATCATCATATTCACAATAAGTCAGTTTCTTCTAAATAGAGTTTTCCAGATATCAGAGCTTTGACTGTAAATGTCATCAAATATGGTGTCTCTCTTTCAGAATTCCCCACAGAAATATTAGATCCTAAACACACCACTGTTCTGTATTAACTACAGGGACAAATCAACACAAAACTCTCCATTCAGTGTCAAGGACAAATAGATCTGAGGCACCTGTGTAGTTTTCTATAAAACTTTCCTCACAATTTTGGTACAGTTTTATTGTAATTAACCAGCGTGGTGTGGCAGAAGGAACAAAAATGGAACTCACCACCCTGAGGGCCACTGGGGCTGGCTAGTGCTGAGTGTGTCTGTTCTTCTCCTTCTCTGTCATCCTCCACATGCATTTGTGTGAAGAAATCATATGCAGCTTCATTACTTGCGCCCTGCAGAATGGGACATTCCTCGTGAAATTATAAATATTCAGAATTATACCAGTGTCTTCTTCTCACCTCTCAGATGTTAGAAACATTATATAAACAGTCAGCAACAACAAGGTGTACTGCACAACAACAACAACAACAACAACAACAACAGGTGGTTAGGGATTGATTCCCAGCCAGGACAAGGCTTCCTCTCAGCTGCTTTTGTACCCAGAATATGACCCAATCAACTTCCTGTGCAGGACAACTACACATCTACAGCTAGGACCAAGTTTAAGAATTGAATTGAATTGAATTTATTTACATTCTATAAATCCTAAGCAGGTTAGTACCTTTGGATACAGAACAAGTCAAAAGGTTACATACATAAGTACAGGCAATTTTAGCTTAAAAATTAATATAACTTAATTTTACATCATTCTCTATTTACATTGAAGTATTCATCTAAAGAGTAGAAGGAATGAGCATGTAGATAATTCTTTAACTCTGATTTAAACTTTTTAGTATCATTGCCCAAGTTTTTAATACTTTGTGGCAGATTGTTGAACACTTTTATGCCAGTAAAGTAGACTCCTTTTTGATATACTGATAAAGTTGATGAGGGTAGGTGGAAGTTATATTTTTGTCTAGTATTCATGTTATAGACATCAGAATTTAATTTGAATTTATCTTTGTTGTAAACAACAAATAGGAGAAGCGATAATATGTATTGCGATTGAAGCGGTAGAATTTTTAATTTCTTAAATAATTCTCTACATGAATCTCTACTTCTACATCCTGTAATGATTCTTATTATATTCTTTTGTATTTTAAAAATTATTACACTATGTGAAGAGTTCCCCCAAAATATTAATCCATAGTTCATAATAGAATGAAAGTAGGCATGGTAAACCATCTTCAATGTTTCCTGTGACATAAAAGGCTTAATTGATCTCATCGCATAGCAAGCTGCATTTAATTTAGGTATAATTTGTTCAATATGTATTTTCCAAGACAGTGTACTGTCTACATGTATTCCAAGGAATTTTGTATCAAGTACTTTACAGATTAATTTGTTGGCATAACTGATGTCCAGATCAATTTGGTGGTTGTTTTTAGTTGTGAATGATATGTAATGGGTTTTATCAAAATTTAATGAGAGTAAATTGGCTTCGAACCATCTGTTTAAGGCTTCAAATACAATATTTATGTCATTTTTAAAGTTTTCAAATTTAGAGTTCTTAAATATTATACTAGTGTCATCTGCATATAGAATTGGTTTAGATTTATTGTTGATGGTTTTAGATAGATCATTTATGTAGAGAAGAAAAAGTAAGGGACCTAAAATTGATCCTTGTGGAACACCGTGCTTTATAATTCCCCAGTTTGAAAATGCATTATGACTGGAGTTTTTATTATTTATTTCAACTCTTTGATACCTGTTTTTGAGGTATGATTTGATCCATTCATTAGCTTTGCCAGTTATTCCATAGAAATTTAATTTCGATAGTAAGATATCATGATTAACACAATCGAAAGCTTTTGCTAGATCACAGAAAATCCCTCCCACAATTAATCTGTCATTGAGAGCACTTAAAATATCGTTAGTTAGTTCATAGGTTGCTTTTTCTGTTGTTAGGTCTTTCCTAAATCCAAATTGCTCTTTGACTAATATGTTGTTAGAATTTAAGTGTTCAAGTAGTCTATTATACATAACTTTTTCAAAGACTTTTGAGAATGAAGTCAATATGGATATTGGTCTGTAATTAGAGATGCATTTTCTCTCTCCTTTTTTAAAAAGTGGTTTCATTACAGCGTATTTTAAGCGTTGAGGAAAAGTACCTGATGATAAAGATTTATTACATAGATGATTCAAGGGTGAACTGATGTAAACAGAGCTTGCTTTAAGTAATTTGGTAGAGATTTCATCATATCCATGTGAATTTTTGGGCTTAAGGGATTTAATAATGTTTTCAATTTCCTTCCTTGTTGAGAATTTGAGATTGATATTTGGAAATGAATTGTTAAAGGCACGAGACAGATAGTATATTGGATTATTATTATTATTATTATTATTATTATTATTATTATTGGAATATGTTTTCTCAGCTAATGAAAGGAAATATTCATTAAATGCACTTGCGATAGCTTGTGGATTGTTAGTGGACTTCCCTTCAATATTCAAACTTTGTACGTCTTCATTAACAGATTTCTTTCCTGATTCAACTTTCACAATATCCCAGGTGGTTTTAATTTTATTGTTTGATTTTAGAATTTGGCTGTTATAGTTATTCTGTTTGGCTTCTTTAATGACTTTTGACAAAATTTTACAGTACATTTTGTAGTGACTTTTTAGTCTTGGATCATTACTGTCCCTACTGGCCAAATATAGTTGTCTTTTGTGTTTACATGAAGTTTTTATTCCAATTGTTATCCAGGTGGATTTGTTTTTATTTTCATTTTTGACTATTTTTAAGGGAAAGCTTGAATAAAAGATCCTCAAGTATGTGTTCAGAAAGCAATTAAATTTAGAATCAATATTATTGCTGTCAAATACATTGTCCCATGATTCATTACTTAATTTTGTGACAAAATCTGCCATCGTATGCTTGTTGATTTTCCTTACTGTTTGATATTGTTGATTACTGGGCTGAAGGTCAATATTATTTATTTCTATGAGTTGAGCATCATGATCGGATAAGCCATTTATAAAGGGTCCTACAGTATAGTCTCTTAATTTTGAGTTATCAATGAATATATTATCTATCGCTGAACTAGAATTATTTTGAACTCTTGTGGGAAAGTTAACAGTACTGGAGAGATTGTAAGATGATAACAAAGAGTCTAAATTTAGTTTCCTATTACTGTCGATGAGATAGTTTATATTTATATCACCACAAATTATAAATTCAACTTTTGAACTATGCAGTACATTTAGGATGGTTTCTAATCTATTTATAAAGTGATCGAAGTTTCCAGATGGGGCTCTATATAAAGTCAGTATACAAATATTAGAAAAAGGAGAGTCTAACTTTAGAGCACATGCTTCCAGATCCTGGTCTTTGCAATAATCTTCTAAATTTATTTTAGTAAATTTTAGGTTTTCATGTACAAAAATACTCACTCCTCCTTTCTCCAGTGTTTTCCTACAGTATCTAGCACCTAAATTATAATTTTCTAAGTGAAGATGTTCTAATTCCAGCTGTTTCATGTGATGTTCAGTAAGGCACAGTATGTGTGGAAGATTTGAATTCATGGAGCTTATTAGTTCATTTGTTTTGTTTCTCAATCCTCTTATATTCTGATGGAATATTCTTAGTACTTTATTATTCACTGAATTTAGTAGACTGCAATTACCTTTTCCGATTTCTATTGGTTCACTAACATTATTGTCTGAAAGATTAGTTTCTTTTGCAATTTCTTTTACTTGATAAACTTTACTTGCACTCTTTATCCTAAAAAATGATTCTGAACACCCATGACAACTGGAATGTGTCTGCCCTTAATGCTCTCTGCAATGAGTCGCGTCAGCTTGTCCTTGCCTCGAGGATTAAGATGCAAACCATGGACAGTATGTTCGCTCCTCAATATTGAAGAGACATCAATCGCATCAATGTGGGCCGCGCCGACCTCCACAAGCGAACGCTCAAGCCGAAGATTAATCTCCCTTACACACCTGTTAATCCATGGCTTGTCATGTCGCCAGAAAAGACCAACAAACCTCACATTGGTGTGACTAGTTTTCTGGGCAATGTCACTTAAATCTTTCTCAATTTGATAATTGAGGTTTCTCTCCAAACTGTTACCTGGCCCCCCAACTATAACTACCTGATCTTCCTTACTAAAACCTTTGCACAATTTTCCAATGTCCCCAGTGACATTGCTCAGATCAGCATTGGGCTTGAATATGCTGGTCACAGCATATGCATCTCCCATTGCTTTCTGTAGCCTCTGCCCGATACCCCTACCATGACTGCTACCCAGCACTAGAATCTTACGCTTAGGCTTAGCCTCTAACACAGGCTGATCTATAGCGTCACCATCAGTCTGAGGCCCTAGCATAGCTAGAGGTTCAAATCGATTGGTTAAAGCTAACTTAACATCTAGTGAAGAAGGAACTTTTTTAAGTTTTCTTCGGGAGTTGGACACAGTCCTAAATTCTTCAGGACAATTATCTACTAAATTTAATTCCCCTTTTAAGAGGTCAATCTCAGTTCTTGCAAGTTCCAGCTCCCTTTTCAAACTCAAGATAGTCTCCTCTTGTTTCTTTATTACCTTGGCTTGCACACAGGAGTTGCAGTACCAAGGTAATATGGCCAAATCACTATTGGTGCCAGAGCACTCCCAATGAAACCACAGGCCACAGTCCTCACATCCTGTCCCCTGGCTAACCTTCCTTCTGCAGGCCCCACATTTACCTGCTAAGTCGTTACCCCTTGTGGTCATTATTACCACTTATGTTAACTTATAATTCAGTACTAACTAACAGATATATTTAAAGAGTCTAATTTGTGATTAGAACTTACAAGAGTATATGCTGGCACAAATCTTTTAAGGCCCACTATATACCATGATACACTTATTTTAGGTTAGGCCCACTGGTACACTTGCAATAGTACAAATCAACTTACTAAAGATATAAAATAATACACAGTGTTTTACTTCCATGCTCCTGGTTTACCTTCATTGTCTCTTCAGGTAAACCTTTAAGTATTAAGGGAAAGATGAAGGTAAAAGTACAGGTGCAGTGCATGTTGGTGTTGTTACTGCACTATTTGTTTGCTTGTTTGTTTGTTTTTGTTGTTATTATTTGAAGGCAGAATAGCTCGGTCTGTATAAGACTAAGCTGACGGCTGAAAAAGCAAGGGGTTTGCGTTTGATTCCTGGGAGGAACAAAAGATTTTCTCTCCCTCATAATGACAAGATCAGATTGGGGACCACCCGGCCTCCTGTTGAATGGTTACTGGGGACCCATTCCTGCTGGTAGTGTGGTGGGGCATGAAGTTGACCTCTCCAACCCATAT